TCTGGGTCTGACCTCAGAATATCTTGCTGCTTGCCCCTCCCAGATGGCATGCAGAAGGCAGCTTCAGTTTCCCACTAGTCTACAGCAAGGAAAATATTGTTATCCTCATATAGGTGCAGCCAAAAAAACAAGCGCACAGAAAAAAACAATCACAAAAGCCAACACCAAAACCCGCAAACACAACAGCTCTTCATCACCCCGTTATTTTTGCCCTTACAGGTATCAGAAAGTACAAATTAACAGTGGCTTCTCATACATCTGTATCTCTATTGCTCATAAAAACCCCTCTGTGGAGAGCACATAGAAGATACCATCTACCAATTCCTTTTTTCTCAAGTTTTCCCTGAAGTTGCAGGATTTCCTCCCTATTACATCAGGAGAAAAGGGTGTATTTGTTCTTTTGCCATTTAAGACTTATTAGCACGGTCAGGTTACTCCAGCCAGGCCCTCTTTCCTGATCTTTTCTTGCAGGGGAATTATTCTTGGCAAGGCTCCAGCCTAGTACTAACTCAATGGAGAAAAACTAAGCGGCTGTCTAAAGAAAGAGACATAAACCAGACACACCTCAGGGCTTTGCCAGGCCACCCAGAGCTGCAGTGACAGAGCTGAAATAACAAGTACAAGCTGGTGCTGAGCCTCTGAAGGTTACAAGTACAACCATCACTACTACTACTAGGATACACTATTACGATGTCTGGTTTTGGGGAGGAAGCGCAGCTACAAGCCAGCAGGCAGGGTACCACACAACACACCTTCTCAAACAAAGCATCAAGCCCCATTAGTATATAATTGTTCCATGGAATGACCCCACCTCTCGGTCCTGACTAAGAGACTGAAGAGAAAAACAACCCCACCAACCCATTATTTAATGTAAGGGAGCAAGGGGAAAGTGGTTCTCTTCCCTTTGGCATCTAATGCAGGGACAAGACGGCTTTTTCCTCATGTCTGAATAGAAAGAGCGTGGTTCAGGAGTGTGCTTTGGGTTTAGGTGTTGAGAGGATGTGCTTAGGGTGACCGCTCCCCTGGGACACCTACCTGCGGTAGGTAGGACAAGGAGAAAGAGCTTCCGACCATGGGGCACAGTGAGGGTTCCCCAGGGACTGCCTGCCCACCCACTGCCTCCCAGGAGGCTATTCTGGGCTGAGGTTTACATCCCCTTCCCTACAGGAGCACCAGTTTGGGTATCTGAGTTAGCTGAGGTTAACTTCTTACCTGCAAACTCCTATGTAACCAAAGTGAAAACAGCTAACCAGTTACAAAGCTAGAGGAGGAAGAGGCGCTGGCATGCTCCTAAAGGGCTGGCATGGAGGCTTGCTGTCCAAGCAAGAAACTAAGCCAAGGAGAAAAACAAAACCCCAGTCAATCACTGGAACAACCTTCCCAGGGATGCAGGAAAGCCCCCAACACTGGAACTTTTCAAGACACAACTGGACAGGCTGCTAGATCATTTCATCCAGTCTCCCATCCCTACAAAAGGCACTGAGAGAATACACATTCTGCCTTTCAGACCCTCGATCGATGTCATTTACTCAACTGCAAGTGTGCTTACAAGAACAAGGCAATTATTATTAAGAGGTCTTCACAAAGTTACTGCTCAGTATTATAAGGCACAACAAAAAAACAGCTGGAAAAGCCCCACTGCAAACCATGCTGGGAAAGGTGCACAAGTGATCACTGCCCTCGGCTGCTAGCAAGCAATCAAACTAGAGGGTGCACCTTTAGCACGCTCTCCATTGATCCTTGACTAGAGGCAACATCTCCACTGGGGCTACTTTTCCTCCCCATTAAAACACTTCAACCTGAACTTGCTCTCTCCTTCAACCATGCTACGCTGACCCTTATTTTGCTGAGAAGCTGTTGGTCTCTCCCTCCACCAAGAACGGGGAGGGCACGCAGGTCAGCAGAAGGGGTGACCTGCACACCCAGACCAGCTTTGATCCCCGGTCAGCAACTCCCAGATTTGCCAAGCCACACCTGCAAGAAACATTGCAGGTTTGGGCAAATTCACCCCACATTTGGTACTTCAATTACACACCACGCTCGCCTCCACATTCATCATGTTAATCTCTGCTAAAATTACCCTCCAGTCCTCCGAATGAAAACACCTCCACTCCAGACACTGTGATAAACATAGAAGCTTGTAATATGAGAAAGAGGGTGAGGACCTTGCTGTGATTTATTATTTCTGTACTGCAGCGATGAGTTTCAAACTAGCTGAGCAGTAGTGGCCATGCTGCTGATTTGGTACATGTCCCCTTTGCTGCTCTTCAGCAGTGTAGCACTTCTGGGCTCAAGAGTGAATGTTTTGGGTTGAATTTTTCCTTCCCCACTTCAGCAGATTATACGATCACATCTTCTTGATTTTTGTTTTGAAAGAAGGCACGGCCCTCTTTGCTTCCTGCACAACTGGTCCCTCAGTGCAGAGGCTATGCAGGGCTGCAAGACAGGAGGACTTTCATCTTCTGATTTCATGTGTGAATAGGCAGTAATCTTGCCCATTGTCAATTCCTGAAAGAACAAGCTCAAGGGGTCTCAAAGGTATTTGCTGTAAACTGGTCATGAGAAAAAACCCACCAGACAACAAAGCACACCCAAACCAGCCTTTCAACCAGCACAACGTCCCCGAGATCGCCAGTTAAGATTCTTTTCTGCTCTTTATGCGGTTTCAATGGAGTCTTCTCTTGCTGTGCTTTATTCCCAGACTTCACAAGGTGAGGAAAGTCCTCCAATAATAGTACTGCAACAAGGTACTAGTCCAGCTCTTGTGACCACCCCAGACTATAAAGACCTGAATGCAGGAGCATGCTTGTGTACATGAAGGCATCTGCGCACCAAGTGCATCAGCAAGCAGGTGCCCATCAGCATAGCTCATGAGAGCGCCTGCTTTCTGCTGGACCAAATACCCTTTAGAACCACCTGGAAACAGCTTGGGTCCTAGATGGAGACTTCAGCAACCCCACGTGGGACATCCACTGACCACACAATGCGCCTTCAAATCACACCACACGAGTCTGGCCAGGCAGAAGCGGGGGGGGGGGGGAGCCCGGTGCAGCAGCGTGTTCTGGCTTGCGGAAACAAAAGGTTAACGTCTCCAGCTGATTATCGACTGAAGGTCATTTACCTGGGCAAAGATTAGTTTGCAAGGCATTTCATCAGTTCCCATGGTACACGGCCATAGCTGGGGGGAGACCATGGGTTTCACACACAGAACCAAGGCAGGTTCTGACCTCAGCTGAGGCTGTTTTACAGCTGCAAAGCTCCACTGACCTCAGCAATGCCAGCACAAGCAAGAGGAAATTCCTCCCCAGGGTGCCGAGTAGGACTTTCCCCAACTTACACTTTTTTCCTGCACTGTGTTGATTTTTTGCTGTTCCCACATCTATTTTCCCAGCAAGGTTCTGCGGGCGAGCACAATGTGGATGCAGATCGCTCCAGCGCCTCAAGTTGTCACAAACAGGATTAAGTACAGACAACAATTGCATCACATTCTCCCTGGGTGATGGACGGCACATCTACATGTACTAAAACAGAACAAAACCCCGTGCTCGTACCAGGCTCCTTTAAAACTCTAAGGTGATGTGAAAGAGAGATCTTTCACACCACCCCATGCAACCAAGTACATGTTTGCTAAGCTGGATGGAAACAAAGTACCATGCATTTAAGAGCAGAGCTAAGATGCCAAAGTGACAGCACCTTACTGGATGAGGTCCTTAAAAAACCCACTATATATATATTTACATGCATATGTATACATACCATCACTGTCTTTCTCACATGCCTGACCCCTGCAACCACACCAACAAGAGCCATTCAGCATATGACTAGAAAAAGACAGAGCCCTCAGCACTACCAGAGCTCAACAGCACTTCCCCTCCCCACAATATCCCTTTTGCAGAAGCCCAAGACTCCCCTGCTCCCATTCACTTCCAGCTGGAAGCTTGAACAACAGCCAGAGAGAAAAGTTCAGTTTCCCAATACTAAATGCCGATCAGCTGGGACAGATTTCACACACGGAAAGGAAAGGGCAGGAGTTGTTTCAAAACCCTTATTGCATCCTTACATTTGTGTTTCAAGCAGAAAGTTTAGCAAGAGAGACACCCCCAGCACTGCTGCCCCATTACCTTACCAAAGCAAGTAAATAAAGACATAAATTACAGCTCTCAGCCACTAACACCAGCAGTACCATCCCACTCAACACACCACAAACAGACCTCGCCCCGTGCCCCCCAGCTCAATTAAATCAGGCACAGGGCCAGCACAACCCCGTGTCTCACATCCCAGGGATGAGTGGTCCCTGCAGCTCAGCAGATGCCCCATGACCACACATTAATAAGCCGTGTCACCCTTGCGGGATGAGCCATGGCATTCCACGCTTGTTACACAGCCCAGACCGTCCTGACAGTGCTCCAAAGCCCTTTTTGATTTGAGGAGGAACGGACTACAGCCCTAATGCTGACGTTAAGGAGGTCACCTCCCAGACGAGACATTCTGGAGAAAAGGCACCGGCAGGTCTCAGCTTGGCAGCTCCGGCAGAGGCGGATGTAGCGCTGCAGCCCGCCTCCCACGGCAGCAGTAAGATGCTCGGGGAAACACCATACGAAACAGGGTACACACAACGCAGCCCTTCCTCTGCTGTTCCTCCCCAGCTTCTGGCAGGAAACACAGTCCTCTACTACTTGTTCAAACGGCTCTTAACGGAGAAACAATCCCATTAACAGGCCCAATGTGGCTGACCGTAACAGCTCAGTCTTCCCCACACAAATGCGTGTACACACCAACCTCCTCAGGAGGTGCACCACCACCTTTCAAGGAGTGTAAAGGCTTTATGAAGGGTCATTCCAGCATTAGACTCAACCAGGGTTCGATGCAAGAAACGGGAAACGTTTGGCAATCCTGGGAAGGAGCAGTCCCACTAGGATGACAACAGGATTCTAAAGTGCCCAAACCCCAAAGGGATTAACCTCTAATCCTGCACCTACAGGTCGGGTGCTGCCTCTTACCTGTTCTCCAGCAGCGTCATGCACACCACCTCCCGCACTCCTGGGTTGTTGGCTTTCTCGACGGAGCAACTTTGCAGGTTCCAGGTAGCCACCCTCAGGACGGGTCTGCCGTCCCTCACCCCCCCAAACATCTCCACAGAGGGGCGAGTGGATATGATCTGGGTCGGACCCCCAGGAGGGAAGTCCAAGTCCTCGCTCTGGAGGCTCAGAGAGGTGGGGCTGGGGTGAGGCTTGGCGGTGAAGTTGAGGCCACCATTGGTGTTCGTCGAAGGGGGCCGGGAACGCTCCGCAAAAATCTGATGCCTGATTTTGTCCAGGAAGGAGGAATTGATGCAGTCCATCCTCACCAGGTCCTCGATGCTTTTGAAGGGGCCGTGCTCTTTGCGGTAGTCCACGATGCTGTTGGCAATCTTCTCGGTGATGCCGCGGATGCTCATGAGCTGCGCCGGGGTGGCCGTGTTGATGTTGATCTTGGTGGCGGAGAGGTGATGCTCAGCAGGCAGGTCCTTGCGCAGGGAGCTGGGCGAGTGCTGCACAGAGCTGCCCTTGCTGCTCACGCAGATCTCAAACTTCACCTGCTCCAGCTTGGCAGCCCCGACCCCGCTCACCAGCGCCAGGTCCTCCACTTTCTTGAAGCCGCCGATGTACTCCCGGTACTCCACGATGTTCTGGGCCACCACGCGGGTGACGCCGGGCAGGGTCATGAGCTCCTCCTCGGTGGCCGTGTTGATGTTGAGCCGCTCCTGGTTCACCAGGATGTTGCTGAAGTTGCACGCCGCGCTGAACTTGCGGCTGTGGCACAGGTCGGCCGGGTCGCGGGGGATGGCGCGGTGGCAGCCCAGGCTCCCCCCCATCTCACCGACCGGCGGGCGCGGGGTGCAGCCCGCCCGGCACTCATGGGCCCCCGCGGGAGGCCGGCGACGGGCGGACCGCGGCGGCTGCGGGCAGGCACGAAGGGACTCGGTCAGGCGAGCCCCGCGCCCTTCCTCTTCTTCTTCCCCCCCTTCCTCCTCCTCCCGCGGGCGGGCACTGCCGCTGCAGCCCCCGGCGCACACCGCCCGCTCCGCTGCCCCGCACCGCTCCGTTGCAGCTCGGCCCGAGCTCCCGCCCCTCGGCACGGCGAGGCGGGGCCGGGCGCCGCCACCAACTCCCGCCCCGGGGCGTCACAGCCACCGCCCCGCCCGGTCCCGGCGCTGGCTCCGTCCCGGCAAGGAGCGGGGGCCGAGACTGAAAGGGGGGGGGGGGGGGGTCCATCTCATCCCATCCCTCACGGCACAGCAACCCCGAAAGGACCAAGGGGCCCCGCCGTGGCCTCACTGCCCCGCTCGGGGCAGGCGTCCCTTCGTCCTCCCGGTGACGGGAGCCAGGTGCTCTCTGCGGCATTCCCGTCCCTGGAGTTCCTTGGGATCGCCTCTCCGCAGCTGGCACGGCTCCAGTGCGTTTCCAAACCGCATGAAAGCCTCATCAGTCACCTTCAGTGGCTCTTTTTTTTTTTTGCTGTGGCAGGCACTGTACTCTCGTACAACGGGGCTCCCTTTTCCCCCACCTGAAGCAATCATGTGAGTGCTCTGCAAAGTGGATGATCACAGAATCACGGAATGGTTTGGGTTGAAGGGACCTTAAAGCTCCTCCAGTTCCAGCCCCTGCCACGGGCAGGTACCCCTTCCACTGGAGCAGCTGGCTCCAAGCCCCTGTGTCCAACCTGCCCTTGAACACTGCCAGGGATGGGGCAGCCACAGCTTCTCTGGGCACCCTGTGCCAGTGCCTGGGAAGAGCTTCTGCCTAAGAGCTCATCTCAGTCTCCCCTCGGACAGGTTAAAGCCATTCCCCTTGGCCTGTCCCTACATCCCTTGTCCCAAGCCCCTCTCCAGGTTTCCTGCAGCCCCTTCAGGCACTGGAGCTGCTCTCAGGTCTCCCCTTCAGGAGCCTTCTCTTCTCCAGGCTGACCCAGCCCAGCTCTCTCAGCCTGGCTCCAGAGCAGAGCTGCTCCAGCCCTCGCAGCATCCCTATGGCCTCCTCTGCACTCACTCCAACAGCTCCATGTCCCTCCTCTGCTGCTGCCCCAGAGCTCGATCAGGACTGCAGGGGGGGGTCTCCCCAGAGCGCAGCAGAGGGGAAGAATCCCCTCCCTTGACCTGCTGCTCACACTGTAAGGGCGCAGCCCAGGACAAGGGTGGTTTCTGGGCTCAAGCACACACTGATGGGTCGTGGCGAGCTTCTCATCAACCAACACCCCCAACTCCATCTCTTCAGGGAGGAACATATTAGGTCTGCACACTAGGTCTGTCTCAGCCCATGTCCCCGGTGTACTGCGTGCCCCACCTTTCCCCGAGACAGAGCATTCTGCACTGAAATCCTGGTTGGGCATCACCTGTGTGCCTCAGCTGGCTTGACCATAGTTCACTGATAGCCTGAGAGCTGCAGCTGCCCACCACAGCCAGTGTAGGTAAAGCCACTGAAGTATTTACCCAGCTTCTGCTGCACTGAGCCCCGTGCTGTGCTGCCTGCAGTGCTATCTGTAGCCAAATTAGCTCATTTGAAAGGAGCTTGGCTGTGCCCACACAGGAGTGACTGCAATGTCAATGAATCCAAAATATAATTGGGGTGTGTAATTGAAAGGATGGGGAGGAAAACCTAAAGAAACCAAAGGAAAGAGCAACGTATGCCTGCAGTGCTGGCTACTCACCCTGATGCTGCCTGATGCTGGCCAGAATACGATGCACGTGTATTTTCAATACCAAGACTGTTTGTTGGCCCTCTAATGGAAATTAAACAGCTTGTAATAGCAACTTATGCATGGCAAGTTAATGGAAGTTATTTGGGTTCACCTAGAAGAAAAGGTTGAACTTGTGCAGGTTCTGGGGGAAGGAGGATGTGATGCACATAAGGGAGTGCAGAGAGTTTCCAGGCTGCCCAGGGCACTGCTGCTTTAACATTTGCACTGGCTATTCTGCTGCGGATCATGCATTTCTCTCCTGTTTGCCTGAGAAATAGAGTTAGCAAATTACCATTGCGGGAATGGGACTGGCTGCATTAGGGCATTGGCTCTCTGCTGACTGCTGGAGTGGAGAAAGTGCTCACTTAGGTGATTAAAAGCTTCCATGTCTACTGAAAAGTGCTTGTGCACTGCGATAACAGCAGCCAATGCAGCAAAAGCCCTGCTGGGCCTAATCCTGCTGGGATGAAACCAGCACAGAGCTGAAAACAATTCACCATTGAAACAATTACTCTTTGCAAGGCAATATTATTATGGTAATAGCTCCACAAGCTGTTATCTCAATGGAGAACATACTCTTCTGCTTTTTACAGCAGGTTCTTTCAAACTGGTCCAGGCTCATTAAAGAAGTTACAAAGCTGAAAAGCACCAAAAGCCATCTGAGGCATCATCTATGTTGCAGGCAGCACTGGGTTATCTCAGTTTCAGAGAGGAGGCAGGAGCATCTCCAGAAAGAAAATAACAGATGTCCTGCTCATCCAGCACTTCCTATTGTCAGCAAATGCTCTCTATTTTTCAGTCTGCAGCACCAAGATAACTGGTGCAGCTGAGGAAGTGGAGCTTGGAGGGATGCAATGAATGTCCCATCATCTAATCCAGAGTAGGACCTGTGGTACTGTAATGTGCACCTCACCTGTAATGTGAGCTGCAGGGGGGAGAAAGGGAGTTACCACTCCTTTAGCCCCGTACCCTTATTTTTTGCCAGCATTACCTAAATGACAGTTACAGGGAGCTGACTGAGCTCTGAATCAACTTTTGGCACATCTGGGTGTTTTGAGAAAGTCCCAAAAGACGGAATAAAGGTACAGGACTGGTTTCTATTTGAGAGAAAAAACAGAGTCAGCTTGACACCAGTGTTAGGCAATGCGTTAACACGAGGAAGCTAAAAACGGGGTGCAGTCAGTAAATGATTAAGAAAACAATGGTGAAATTATTGACAGCCAGCGTAGGCCACAGAGAACACATCTTGCAAAACCCAGGCAGGGACTAGATCTTATCTTCGAGCCAATCCCAAGCTCAGTGCATTTAAACGTGGTCAAGAAGTGATTGATGGAGGTCTGCCGGTGCTCACTGGCTGGCAGGCAGCTCGGTACCTAACGTGGGAAGTGGCCAGGAATCCGGCTGAACACCTTGCGCCCTGTCCCCTCAAGTAGGCAGTGAAACAGGTTCCTGGACAGCAGAGTGGCACCAGGACAAGCAGGTGGCCGTGTGAGCAATGCAGGGGTAGGGTCGTGTCATCTGCTTGCCAGTTCTGGAGGTCTCAAGGTCCTCTTCCCTGCAGGAATTGTTCAAAGAGGAAAGAACAAAACCAAACTGTTCTCTGCTGGAAGGAGGTTCTGCAGCTCTTAAAGGCTTTAACTGTAATGTTTAAGGAGGGAAGAAGCTCTTCCCTGTGAGGGTGCTGAGGCGCTGGCACAGGGTGCCCAGAGAAGCTGTGGCTGCCCCATCCCTGGCAGTGTTCAAGGGCAGGTTGGACCCAGGGGCTTGGAGCAAGCTGCTCTAGTGGAAGGGGTCCCTGCTTGTGGCAGGGGTTGGAGCTGGGTGATCTAAAGTTCCCTTCCAACCCAAACTTTTCTATGTTTCTATGATATGGAATTGCTTGAACCCCTAACGATGGAGCAGGTGCAGATACTGCTGAGCAATGCCTTTTGGCTTCATTTGTGCAAAGAATCAGCCCACAGGCAGCTATATTTTAAAGGCTTTAACGTCTCGGCATTTTCAGATGGTTGTTAAAAAATGGATTAATCTATTTTCACCTTTTTTTTTTCCAAAACACACCATCTACACTGCAGACTGAACAAATACACTCTGTTTCATGATGAGGGCTAGAAGGAGCCAGGAGATGTTGCTCAAGAGAATACCACAGAATTTGCCTTCAGTCTTCAGGCAGCAACTGCAATCCCTACCAACCCTCCATGTGACAGCAGTGCCTTTTCCAGCTCTCACTTACAAGGTGTTAGGGAGCAGGGGGCTTGGCACTGAGAAGCAGTCACGCTCCCTGGGACTACGTTTTCAGACCTGCTGCACTGGGCCCTTAACAGGCAAGGGCTCAGATAGGCAGCTCATTAACTGGAGTGCCTGTATCTTTATTTAAAGGAGCTATTAAAATAATTGTTTTCCTTCTGAGAGGACGCCTTCAGTAACACTTGCAACAGATGCCAGAGGCAGAAGACAGGCAACGTATTTATGAAGACAAGCAATAACAAGTAGGACTTAGCAATTTCATGAGCAGTGGGACTTAAGTCTGATTTCTGGTGGCTCTTTCCTCTGTTGACTTGCTGATGTACAGTAATAACGCTGAGTATCCATTAGTCTCTCAGTGGGGTCACTAGCTTGGATGTCTCTGCTCCGTCTGGCCATCGGTTTTTGTGGCACTCATAGGAACTCTGTACTTTTGAGACAGTTAACCTCCATCAAATGTGCTTGAATTTAGCCCTCATGCTAATAAAATCCCTGCGGAGGGGATGACGAGCGGAACAGCAGAGCACACAGTCACATGAGTTTTGTCTTAGGAAGCCAGTGTCTATGCTGTGAGCTCTTGCTCCTGCAAGGCATTTTACATGGCTGCCAAACTTGTTGCAAGAAGATTAAGTGATGTCACTGGTGCTGGGTTGCCAAGTTACGAGTGTCACATCCTACAGACAAATACAGTCAGAAGGGTGAGCAGAAGTGACTCATCCTTCTACCTGGATCAGGGCTTCGTTTGGGTTGGTGTTAGGTCTGAAACCCAGAGCTCTCCCTCCCACAGGAGATCCCAACCACTGGTGCACCATTCTGTCTTGTCAGCACGTGGTGGGACGGCTCATCCTGGAGAGAAACGAGAGGAACTTCTTGCTGGAGAAGATGTTCTCCAGTAGAGCCTGGAGTGGTTTCCAGTTTCCATATGTATTCAGATATCCCTGGAGGCAAAGGGATGGAAAGGAAGGAAGAAATCTAGTCCTTCCTTTACTCCAAGCAGGGTCACGGTGGTGACTTCTCCTAAACTTCCCAGACAAGAAGCATGGGATACAGTGG